AAGATTTTTGCCCTGCATCTCGTTCAGTCGTCAGTTCTTAAAAGAACACAGTCCTAAAGTATTGCAGTGCGAGATCACGCAAGATTAGCAGCTTGAGATCTTGCACTAGTGATCTCATGTGATCTTGCACTAAAATACTTTAGGCCTCCATTCTCTGCGAACTGACGCCTGTACCAGATCCGCCCAAAGAGCCCTTTCAAGCTGATGAGACTTTGGGACATTGAAATAGCCATTCTTGAAGCATCCCAACTTTTCCAGTCTCAGCACAAAGAGCAATTATAAGGCAATGGGAGGCTTCAGCAGGGGATTTATCTCCAAAGTCTCATTGCTGAGATTGAGGAACAGGCTGAGTGGGAGTCCCGCCTGCCAGACAGACACTGTAGAGAAGCTGCTCCAAGGTACACTGGGGAAAAAGGAGCTTCTTTCAAAATTGTTTCATTTCTCACAAGTCTCTGCTGAAATTAACCCACCCCAATAAATCTTAAATTTTCTCCTAATTCCTCCTTGGATGTTTCCCCTGATTATTCCTTAACTCAAAACTGAGTCTGAGTGAGATTTGCATATATAGAGATAATTGTAAAGAAAGATGTTTTCTAGACATTTTCAAAGCTTTCATGACTCATGAATATAGAAATCATCATGTGGACATAATATAATTAGATTTCAGCAAGGGATTCGACAAAGTAGACCACAACCTTCTTCTTAGTAAGCTAGAAAAAAGTGGAATAGATAGCACCACTACTAGATGGACTCGCAACTGGCTGACAAACTGTACTCAACGAGTAGTCCTTAATGGGTCTAAGTCTACATGGAGGGTAGTAAGCAGTGGGGTGCCACAAGGTTCTGTTTTAGGCCCAGTACTCTTCAATATCTTCATTAACGACAGATGAGGGAATAGAAATTTGCAGATGATACTAAGCTGGCAGGAATAGCTAACACACAAGAGGATAGGCTCAAGATCCAGATGGATCTTGACAGACTAGAATACTGGGCCGTATCTAACAAAATGAAATTCAGTGTAGAGAAAAGTAAAGTCCCACAGTTAGGCAAGAAAAACCAAAAGTATACATATAGACTGGGTGAAACCAAGCTCAATAGCAGTAACTGTGAGAGGGATCTTGGAGTCTTAGTGGACAACCAGATAAATATGAGCCAGCAGTGTGCATCAGCAACCAAAAAAGCTATTGCAATCCTAAGTTATATAAACAGAGGGATACAATCAAGATCAAGAGAGGTACTAATACCACTCTATAAAGTCTTAGTAAGATCACATCTAGAGTACTGCATCCAGTTTTGTTCACCTCATTATAAAAAAGATGTTGAGAGTCTAGGAAAAGTACAGAGAAGAGCAACCAGGATGATTAGGGGACTGGAGACTAAAGCATACAAAAAACAGTTACAGGAACTTGGCTTGGCCAGTCTAGTAAAGAGAATGACCAGGCGAGACATGATAGTAGTCTTCCAATTCTTGAGGGGCTGCCACAGAGAGGAGGGGGTCAAGCTATTTTCTAAAGCGCCTGTAGGCCAGACAAGGAATAATGGATGGAAACTGAACAAGGAGAGATTTAACCTGGAAATAAGGAGAAGCTTTCTGACAGTGAGAACAATCAACCAATGGAATACCTTGCCGTTGGAAGTTGTGGGAGCGCCATCACTTGAGACTTTCAAGAAGAGATTGGACTGCCATTTGTCAGAAATGGTGTAGGGTCTCCCGCTTGGGCGGGGGGTTGGGCTAGATGACCTACAAGGACCCTTCCAACTCTGACTGTCTGTTATCTGTTATGTCTATATCACACCACTGTAGGCATGCAAACATACAACCTAATGGAATTTCGGAGAAATTCAGAAGGAAATTCACTTGACTTCCTACACTTTGAACTTTTTGTCCAACATCGTTATCATTTTCATTTCCCTTTTGTTTTGAAGGTAATACTACGCAGGAGAATCAAGATTCCTGTGAACTGTTCCAAGTGATCAGTGCTAAAGATGGAACAGAGAAGTTTGGAATTCGAATGGAATTTGAAAGCCACGAGAGAAACCAGTCAAAGAATTGGAATCAGGAAAGCTCATCTTCCACTGATGCTCTGATGCAAGACTTTCTTGCCCAACAAGAGAAAATAAGGAAAAAATATACTGGAAAAAGTGTGAAGCTAATCAAAGCTAAAGTACAAGTAAATGAACACTATTTAACCCAAAACAAAGGAGAAGATGCTATAACAAGACACAATGGAGAGAATTCCAATGGGATGTTCTTTCTTTCTCTTGGGAATAAGTTCCTTACATCTCAAAAAGTGGTTGATGCAAAAGAGCAGCCTTATAAATGTTTTGAATATGGAAAATGTTTTAGAACAAGCAGACAAGTTACCATCCGTAAAATGATTCACACAGGGAAGAAACTATATAAATGCATGGAGTGTGGAAAGACCTTTGCTCTCAGCAGTAAACTTGAAATTCACAAAAAGATCCATATTGGAGAAAAGCCATTTAAATGCCTGGAATGTGGAAAGACCTTTGCTCTCAGCAGTAGACTTGGTATCCACAAAAAGATTCACACAGGAGAGAAGCCGTTTAAATGCATGGAGTGTGGAAAGACCTTTACTAAGAGCAGTGCCCTTAGAAGTCACAAAAAGATCCACTCAGGAGAGAAACCATATAAATGCATAGAGTATGGAAAGACCTTTGCTCAAGGAGGTAATCTTATTTCCCATAAGATGATCCACACAGGAGAGAAGCTGTTTAAATGCCTGGAGTGCGGAAAGATGTTTACTTATCGTAGTGGACTTAGAAGCCACAAAAAGATCCACTCAGGAGAGAAACCATA